CACTCATTCCCAGCGCAGTGATTTTTGATTATTACTAATAGAAGACACTGATTTGCAAATACCTGTATTCAGGAAACACACAGGTTGATTGGACTTGTGTCTTTTTTCAACCTGACTAACTATGTAACTATGTAACACAGAAAGTCTGTCTTGTATTCCACCTTTGCTTAGCACACCTCTTGTGAGTAGGCATCATCCTTAAAGTGTATTTCTACTTTCGCAGCCAAATTGGGATAACAGCTATTTTATTTTTGCCCACATAGTTCACATCATTCACATCGTATAAGCGTTTACTTGGGTTAAGATTTCTACTTGGCTTCTTAAGGGTTAACATTTCTACTTGCTTCACCTTCATTGTAATGTTAGTAGGGGCTGTGAGGGGTTTGTGTTAACCCTGTCTGTACTGTACTTCCTGATTTCTTTATATTCAGTAAAGTAGATTTGAACACTGCCTGTCCTAACAGAGGGTTAAAGGATTACAACTCTGACTTATGTACTGTATGTTAATGAAGTTAATGAGAGAAACACAATCCCTAAATTTCAGTCCTGAGTCTTTCTATAAGGACAGATGACTGTTATGATGCTCAGACAAGCTTGGAGTCAATCCATTTTGCCTGCGGCAACAAAACATCTAAACAGTAGGAAATAATTAAAAATATATATTTTGAACATATGCTCTGCGAATGGAAACACATAACAAACATATAGATGAATTTTCTCAGATTTGACTGCAAAAGTGGAAAAACACTTTAAGTGCCAATTCACAGCTTTACTTCAGACCTGCTTGCTGGCAATAAAATAAAGACATTTTAAACCGCTCATGTGGTATTTTGGATTTACTCTTAGTTGTTTGCCTGGAGTTCTGCTTTAATTTGTATTCAAGTTTTGGATACAGATTGTGTTCTATAGTGCTTAACAAGGTACACAAAGTGGTATATTTCGTGTAGACTGTAATTAAGAAAGAGCTACCCTCATATTACCTGATCCCATGCTCTGGAGATGTTTAAATCCATTCAAATCTGCAGCTAATAAAATCTGAAGAACCTCAGGCTGTAAAAGAAAACAAGATATTTATATAGAACATTTTCTACTCTATAATAAAAATAACTGTATAAAAAAAATAAAATCAAAATACCTGCAACCCCGAGAAAGAAAGTGACAACCCCTGAGACTGGAACTCATGAATTAGTTCTCGAAGTCCAACAACAACAGTATAATCAAGCACATTCACATGTGTGAAATCAAGGATTAGTGATCTTGGTGGGGAAACTGAAAGGACATTAGGAGAACAAATGCTGTTACATTTTCTAGACTTGCCGTCACTTCAAAAGGTACAATACAGCCAAGTTAACTAGAAGACCAAGTATAAAAAATTCAGGCAATGCTCCCTGAGAATTTCATGCAAATATGCATTGATAAAAGCAGATATAGCTTACATATTTCAGTCTAAACAGACTTAAGCTGGCGCTTCACCTTACAATTATCGTTCAATTTCTTTTGTCCCATCAATTTCTGCTCGGAAACCACATCATGCACAGACCAATGTAAACTTTGATTATCCTTCGATAGCAATACTAACTGACCGAATTTCGTCAACTGACAGAACGGACTTTCGTTTGCGCATGTGCAGTGTTCATGTTGCGCTTTGTCCCTTATAAAAACGCAACTAATCCATCGATTTTCATACGATTCGAAAAAAGTTTTCAAGCCTGACTGACTGGCTGGTCGAAAAAAAGGAGGTAATGTTCTTTGGAGATCTAAGACCATTTAAAGTCTTCCTTGTTATTAAGTAATAAATCAAGCTTATCTACACAGTCTTATTACCAAAACAATCAATGTGAAAAAGGAATTAATTGCAAACCATGATGGAAACTATGCAATTAATTGTATCAATTTCACTTAAGTCCCGTCTTCAGAATAGCTGCTCAGTGTATGTGTGGGCCCCATCCGTTTGAATGAAGGAATGAAAGACCGTTATAGACAATGTTGTCATTTTAATAATTGAACCTTTTTGATGGTGTTTTTCTACTACTTTGTATCAATAAACATTTTCACTTGTATACACTTGCTGGTCCCGGTCTTACATGTAACCTCTTTTGTCAGCGACTCTTAGTCTCTGAATTCCTTTTTCACATTGATTGGCTGGCCGAGTATTGTACAAAAACCTGATGAATAATCGCAAGCTGTATGGGCACCTTTAGTCATGGTTCAATCACTACATACTAAACAAAGTTAAAAAGCACCATGTGGTGGGCAGGGTAGCAATCCTTAGTGAATACAAAACACATGACAACATCTAAAACTATTAACTATTGAGATCTTGCAGCAAGTAAGTCACCTTAGAAAAGACAGAAAAACATCATAACAAATAGGCATAATATTATTACAAAAGAGCACAATGACATATAACATTAAAGGGATGTAAAAAGATATTATTTCAAATAGAGACTCACATCCCATCTATAATTATAGATATGATGTGAGCCTGTATTTCAACAGGCCCACACCCCCATTTAAGTAAGCAGTTGGGGGTTTTAGTGTAGATTAGTTCAGAAGGGTTCATGTTAATTTTGTTTAAAGTCCCACTGTTTTTTTTTTTTTTTAAATAGATGCATTTTAAAAACACAGAATGGTGAATGGGTTCTGACTATTGATATACACTTTTACTTAATATATTTTAATCAGGGGGTAAGAAGTTTTAATATGTGTTTAGGGCCGTTATATATAGTTTGCAACTGTATATTTATAAGGAGATAGCAATATTTGTTTATTACATATGCAGACTTTGCTTCCTGCTTTGAGGAGCCACACAGTGGTTGTGATTTTTGCTCCTTCTTACAAAGCAAGTCTATGAGTCAGCTGATTAATTGAAAACAATGCACTACCTGATGATATAATATCTTATCTTAAAGTGGAACAGTTACCTAAAACAGTTACATTCAAGGCATGTCTCTGGTGATAACTGTTACAGTTGCCAGTGAGCTCTCAACCAAAAGTTCAAGGCCCCAAATGGCTGGTGTTAGAGCTGTTCATATGCGCAGCAACATGGAAACGCAGATCTAAGTAGAGGCCAAGATGGTTGCGTCCTTGGATGCAAAAGGATGTGAGGATTTAGTTCAGCTTTTAGAGTGCATTTACACAGGAATTGGAGCTAAAAGCGCAAGTCAACAGAGGTACATTGACTTGAGTTTGTATAGTGTGTTGACACCAGTTGCATGACATTACGTTTTTTTGTGGGTTTTTCTTTTGTTTTCTTACACTAAGCTATATATAATGTATTGGTTCTGCCTTGCACTGACACACATTAGCAGTTCACACCAGTCCATTGCGTTGATGTGAAAAAATGTAGAGCCTGCTCTACTTATTTTCCAGTGGAGGACAGCGCAACGCATTGGTGTGAACTGCTCTCATTTACACCAGAGACATGCGGTCAGGGGATGCAGAGCCTCACCTAGAATTATGGAGGAAAAAGCTGTCAGCTTCATGTCTGAAGCTGACAGCTTTTTCTCCATTCAGATCGGCATCTAACAGGTTGTACAGCAGGGAAATCCTCCCCGCTGTTTAACCTGTCATGGGCGGAGCGCCTCAGCAGTGAGGAGCAAGTGAGGAACAAAGAGGCTCCTCCCTGTCTCCTCCTTTACACTAGCTTGGGGATGGGGCTACGTCCGTCAGGGCGAGGTCAAAGCAAACGCGGTTCTCCCTCTTGTAGCTAATCTTGAAATCTCTATATCTAATAAAATAAACAAAATACATGCAAATAAAAATGTGATTTCCACATTAATAATAGCAATACTAACTCAAAATATGCACTTGCTGAAAATACACTACATGTGAGCAGTAAAATATTGACCTTCAAAAGCTTGTTTATGAATAGCATCTCGTAGATATTCCATGGCTGGAAAACTCAGCCCGTTCATCAGAATCATATTTAACCCGCCAGTGTCTGTAACCTGGAAAAGAAAACAATGATTTCAAACTAAGCTCACAAAATAGAATTCATTATTGCTTCCACGATAATGTTGCTGACCTTGATCTGTGGTCGTGCAACTGGAATACAAACGATGATGATTGATATCCCAATACCAATGATAATTCCATACTGGATTTCCCAAAAGGATAGAAGGAAAGTGGCCAAAAACGGAAGTAGATCAATCCCTGAAAAAATAAAGAAAATGGCTAAAAAAAACAAAAACCTAACAGTGGTCATAACATGTTTTTGCGCTCCAGTCTTTCAGGTCTATTCACTAAAGGGTGAAGAGTTTGGAGAAGGCAGGAGAAGTTAACAATCTAGGACAACATAGCTCATTGGGAACCATTATCCAATTTAGCTCACTTTCCAGTTCAGCTATGCTGTCCTAGATTGTTCACTTATCCTGCCTTCTACAAACACATCACCCTTTTGTCAATAACCCCCTTTGTCTTGATTACTCTGCAATATTATTTCAAGTAATTATGCATATAATTTAGAGGGTCATGTTCTAGACCTGAGCTAGGCTCTTACAGCCAGAAAATTCTGAGATACAGTATGTTGCTTTAGAATAGATGTAGAGTCACATATTAAAGAAGTCTAATACTGCCCAGAAATCCACTGTAGGTTCTTAATAATCGATTATAATCGATTATGTCGATTAGTTGTTGCAGCCCTACATATATCCAATGTGTAGACCCAATTTTTAAAAAAATGAACAGAATTTTCTTAAAGACACCCTTTCCTCAAAACTATGGCAGAGATTGCCATTCACCCACAATTGAAGTATTTAAGGGTGCCTGACCTAACGCAGGCCTCTCTCTCTGGCAGTTCTACATATGGTCCAGCATTATCGTTTATGTCTATATGTGCGCCTGTCGAAGTTTACTTAAATGCCTATACTGTATAAATGAGCTTTAAAATGTAACTATGGTCAGAAAACAATGACTGCGGCCTAGCTCCCCCTCCACTCCGGTGATGGAATGTCATTTTGGCGTCCTTACGTCCAACACACTGTATTGGATGTGATGACTCACTGGAAGGGGAAGAAAGTGCAGGGACTTGTCTAGTAGCCAGCCGGGTCCCAGATTTTTTTTAGCACCCTGGACAAAACAAGCACTTAACTCTTGCAGTGCGGCTGTAGCCTCACTGTAAGGGTTAAGATTTCATATGCCCCGAGTTCTTCTTTAATGTAACATAAAACATCGGAATATAACTAATGAGAATATATACAGTTAGTCAAACTCTAGAATGCTTACGTTTTACTTTCCACAGGTCTTTGCAGATTCTCAAATCAAACACAGGAGCCACAGCACAGATGATGACTGCAGCGAGAGCTGCTTTGGGAATATAGTAGAAGAGGGGAGTGAGGTATCCAAGAGAAAGCAAAACCAGCAGTCCTGTAAGAGAGAAAAGTTTCACCACTTGCTATTTAAAAATTCATTGCAAGGTCTCGATTTATTGGTGCCTTTAAGGGGTCAAATATACAAAAAGAAAGCCAATTTATTACCACAGAATTTATTTTTTAGGACTTGTGTTTGGGAGATACACTCCCTTCTTCCGATTCAAGCAATACCAATCCTAAATGATTTAGCAAAGACAAATTCGACAATTTGGATAATCTGTGAAAGTTCGGTAACAGTGGAATGTCTGCGCGGTAAGGGTGGGAGGCAAACAAACATCGTGTTAGGATATTTCCTTTCTCCATAAACTAAGACTGAGAACAGTGGGTGCAAGCAAAGGTCTTGGCGGTCTAATGAGCTCTAAGGTATGCTAGATTGAACAAAACGCTGGTAGAGGCTACAGGCTGATCCTCAAGTTTTAAAGTGGTGCAAACTGCATCAATAGTAGCCAAAAGGCCTCTTTCAGTTTGAGAGTGATGGCAGAAAACTGGGTCTCCTCAAAAGGCAGAGTCATCCAAGGACCAGAGAAACTCTGCATCAGAAAGAGTCTCAGCAACTGATTGTTTGGAGACTGCTTAGTCAGTAAACAACTGTGCTTTTGGACGATAAAATGGCTGCCTGACTTCAATGAAATCTTCCCTGGATAGAGTAGAGGAGACAGTAATTCCCGTATAGGGAAAACTCTAATGATGGCACATACACATAGTAAAAATTCTAGGATGCAAACATTGACCATTCGTGGAGTGCGAGCTAGAGTCACCTGGTACAACGGGACTGTGGGGTTGTGCCCCAAGCAAAACCCAGTGCCTGAAGGTTACTTACAGGATAGCCCGCGACATCCAATCTAGTGGGGTAATGTATTTTATTGTTTATCCGATTAACCGATTAATCGAACTTAATAATCGGCTAACTAATCGATTTTGAAAATAATCGTTTCCTGCAGCTCTAGTCTGGGTATGACACTCCAGAGTCAGCCTGGGCAAAGGCCGGATCCCTGCTGTGTATAGTGGGATTTTTGATTGAAGAAAAAAAAGATTGAGAGTAAAAAAGCAAGCAAATAGACTTTTTTTTTCAGCAGAGCTGAAGGAGACATTAATTCTCCTAAGACACTAGCAAAAAAGGCATGCTGAGGGTAGGAGGGGTTATCCTAGGCTGGTCATTTGTTTTGTTTTCCAGTGTCCAATCCTCCTGTAGCTGGCAGTATATCCCAACAGACTAATGCTGAAAGTAAGCACTTATATTGTAAAGCGATGCACAAACGGTTGGCGCTATATAAATCCTGTATAATAATAATAATTTAAAGTACTTGATTTTTTTTTGTGTGATTTTACCTTACATTTTTAAGTTGTTTACAGGCTTTCTTTAAGATCTTCATAATGCCATCCAGACCGATGGCACAGAATGGGGAGGTAGAGGATAGGAGCATGAGAATTACTTTAAAGGAGAACTATGGGGTTAGGGCTTCTCCCGATAGTTCTCCTTAGAGTAACGGGAGGACACAAACTAGCTTCCTCCCGTCACCCTAAGCTCAGTATACCACGAGCTACAGCTCACGGTATACTGAGACGCTGCGGCTGAAGCGGATCTGCCCAGCTGCGTGAGTGACCGCCCCCTCCCCCGTCCGTTCCGCCAGTAAGCGCTGGAGGATCGGTGCGGGGAGGGGGGAATCCAGCCACTCCCCTGTCACGGCAGAGAGCTGTGACAGGATTGAGAATTGAGCGAACGCCGGTAATGTGTTCGCTAACTTCCCGATCTACTGAGCCGACCTGCGACAATCTCATGGTCACAGGTCGGCTAGAACTATGAGGATGAGTGAAAGCACTCACCTCATAGTTCTCCTTTAAAGTCTTCCTGTATGCATATGTTTCCATCCAACTGTTGAAATGCTCTCACCTTTTAATATTACATTTCTATCTGGAAGGAAATAATATACCTCATATAGCAAGGGGTTTTCTCACCTGTAAGGATGCCACCTGCTGGGGTACACACTCCAGTCTGTGAGTTTAGTGCTGTCCTAAACACAAACATATTGTCAGAGATAGAAACACTAATTACATACATATTATTAAATCAATTTACCAATGTACTCACCTGCCAAAGCTGCCTGTTACAGGGTATGATGACAAGAAGGAGCCCAGAATATTTGTAAGGCCTGAAAAAAGTAAAGCATGTTAGGAAGTAATAAACTTCAAAGTCTCTTAAGCAAGCAAGTCAGATGATTGGAGCCCTTTAATAATGCAACATGTTTACATTTCACAGCAACATGCGTTAACAACAGGCACATAATGCATATGCTTTTAAGCTAATCTAGTGTGAAGAAGCCCTAGGATTAACTTTTTTTTAACCACTTCAATGGCGGCATGTTAAACCCCCCTCATTACCAGGCCATTTTTAGTTTCCATTGCTGTGAAAGTTTGACTGAGAATTACACTGTATGCAAATGAAATGTATGTATTTTTTTTTAAACAGATAGAGCTTTAAGTGGCATTTAATAACTGATTTAAAAAAAAAAAAAAAAAACTTTATAATAAGTAAAAGAAAAAACTAAAAATTGAACAAAAAAATAAATAATAATTAAAAAAAAAGATTCAATTTTTTTCTGTTATAAAATAAATGGAATAAAATTGTCAGAACAGTACAAAACCCCAAGAAAAGACTGCTTTTTCGAAAGCAGCCACTTCGAGGTAATCTAAATTTTTGGTGCAATTTTTCCAAATGAAAAAACATGTCAGTATTGAGGGAGTTAAAACATGGAGCTTGGTAATGGTGCACTAGATACATTAAATGTACAGGTCATACACAGTAGTAGGCAAGGGGAGAATGCTGGAGAGGTGGGTATAAGCAGGCCATTGCTGGAGAGTGGGGGAGTGCTGGAAAGGTATCAGTAGGTTAGTTTGTCAGTGCTGGAGAGGTATCAGTTGGCCAGTGGGGATGTGCTCCAAAGGTATCAGTGGAGGAGTGCTAGAGAAGTGAGCATCAGTGGGTATATACTGGAGATGCGAGTATCAGTGAGGATGTGCTGGAGAAGTGAGTACCAGTGGGTTTGTGGGAGAGCATTGGACAGGAGAGTATCAGTGGGTCAGCACTGGAGAGGTGGGTATCGGTGGAACAGAGAGATGAGTATTAGTAGGTCAATTGGGGGAGTGCTGGAGAGGGAAGTATCAGTGGGTCAATTGATCAGAGCTGGAGAGGTATCAGTGGGCCAGAGGGGAAAAGCTGGAAAAAGGTGAGAATTAGTGCGTCATGGGGTTCTTTACACAGGCATTTTCACATTGCCCTTGTCACTTTCTCCTCATTACAACAAAGTCAAAATCCTAGCTAGTGGGACGAATATACTAGATTGATCTATCATACACCAATGTCGAATAACTGTCATAACTGTGCTGACCCGTTGACCTAGAACCTGAACTGGTCACTCTACATTTTGAACTTCTGTAACTAGATGGCATGCACTGTTATTGCTCCTATGACCTTGCCTTGTAATTCCGTGTTGAATTTGTTTTGAAAAAAACAATCAAAACCTAATGAATTAAAAAAAGTTTATAAAAAAGGCATGTAAAAAATTCTAATATACCCCACAAAGATTACATTCAGCCACTTCTACAAAAAAAAAACATTTTTTTCAAAGTTAGGAAATCAAAGGACATTTAAGACAAAAAATATAAAACCTAAGAAAAAATATTACCAATTGCTAGAAGCTCCTGGTTAGTATTTATTCTGTAGTTGTTCTGAGATGCTGCAACACAAACAATACATTAACAAATAAACACACACTTACAATACAAATGGCTCTTTAGCAGGGTGTAGAATTTTGACATTAAAGGGTCAACTAATGTTTTAACAATATGGTATTTCAGTTTTTTGATAAAAAAGTAATACTCAACAGTTTAGTATACTGTTTAAATTCTTTAATCTGCTGCGTTGGGGCTCCATGCTTTTTAAAACATTTTTTCCATTTTGATTCCATCTCTAGATGTAAAATAGAATTTGACACAAAAAAACAACACAGAAACACTGGATTACTGCACAAATGGTACAGTAACCTACAGGAGCATTTGTAATATTTTTCCTCCATAGTCCATAGTCCCTTTGTGCATTAAAATAGGGTGCATGGGGGGCGTGGTTTCGCTATGGCCGCCAGCGGACGTCTGTTCTAAGGCTCCGGCACCTGTCCCTAGACCAGCAGCTTCCGCACCTTCAATACTGGCTCCTTTTCGGTCCATATGGGTCACAGCACGAAGCGGGGCTGTCGTCGCAGGACACAAAAGACTCCTTCGACCAGGAAGCGCGACATAGAGGCGTTTTTTCCCAAGGCGGGGTGCTCCACTCAGACGTCGCGTGGGTCCAAGATGGTCGAGCAAGGAGAAGCGGGCTCCCTCCCCACCCACCTCTTTCCTCACCAGAATCTCTGCTGTCGGCCCCCACTAGCGGTGGGCCGGAGTCTGCTGACCAAAGTGACTTTCCCTACATCATTTCGTAAGCACTCCTGCCCACAAAAAAAGACATTGCAGGCATGTTCCATAAACTAGAGTCGGCTCACAAACAGGATATATCAGAATTACGTGAGGGCCTCCAGTCGTTTTATCAACGCTTGGACTCACTTGAAACCACTATGCCCGCCGTGACCTCAGTGATTGAGTAGTTACAGCAAGCTGCCCAACAGCATAATATCACCCTGCACACTATGTGGTCTCATATTGATGATCAGGAAGACCGCAGCAGGCGTAACAATGTCCGCCTGTGGAGCATTCCAGAGGCCACAGGCACCGGGGCCTCAGTGCTACATTCGTGACCTCGGTGATTGAGTAGTTACAGCAAGCTGCCCAACAGCATAATATCACCCTGCACACTATGTGGTCTCATATTGATGATCAGGAAGACCGCAGCAAGCGTAATAATGTCCGCCTGCGGAGCATTCCAGAGGCCACAGGCACCGGGGCCTCAGAGCTACATTCGTTGGCATTTTTAAACACCTTGCTGAATCGCTCTGTTACAGAACATATTGAAATTGACAGGGTTTATCACATATCAGGTTTCCGTAACCCCAACACGACTCACCCTTGCAATGTTCTTTACAGAGTGCATTACTTTGTGGTCAAAGAAGAAATAATGTCCAAAGCTCAGTCTGTTGGCCCCCTTGATTTTGATGGTGCACAGATCTCCTTGTTCCCCGACCTTTCGAGACGCACTCTTGCCAAACGGAGGGCCCTCAGTCCGTTCACTGCAAAGTTACAGGATGCTGGGCTCCCTTATAGATGGGGGTTTTGCGTTTTCCATTTCTGTGCGAAAAGTTGGCAAGGTTCATTTCTTCAGGAACCCGTCTGATCTACAATCCTTTGTTAAAGCCTTAGGACTCCCAGAGGTCGCCTTGGAGACGTGGCCAGATCCCCCGCTGCCAGAGCTTACTCACCTCCCGAGTCGGGACCAGTGGCAACTGGTCACTCCTAAGCCTTGCAGAGATCGGCGGTCTTCTTCCAGGCCCACTCCACGCTGATGATCTACAGCGCCGGTTGGCGTTCCCAATCTGTTCCTATAAGTTTATCACCACTCCGCTTTGTAACAGTACCTACTTGTTGCCACGTTCAGTTTTGCTGGACCTGAGGGCCATATGTGGGATATTGTCTGTTCTCTCCTTTGTGCCGTCATCACATCAAGCTTCAAGGGATTGATAATTCCTACCTTTCTCCTTACATCAGCCAGTCATGCTCATTCAATGTCCTGTGTGTGAGCAACCGTTTATTTTCATTCATTCAATTGTGTTGCTTTCCATTTACAACATGCTCCATTGTTTTATCTGTCATATATCACAAGTATTATTGTTATTTTCTCCTAGCCACGATGCAGCTTCTCTACAGTTGCCTATGCTTTACATTACACAGGGGGCATGTTGGATGTCAAATTTTTTATGGTATCATGTCCTAGGTTTTGTGTTTCAGTTATTCGTTTTTGTTTTGTTTTCTATCATATAGTTTTACAATTTCTAATTTTCATCTGCTGGTCTATGGGGCTCCCGGACCATGTTGCATTCCTTGCCCCCGTTAGTTTGTGCTCCCGCAGTTCCTATACAGAGCATGGGGACCACAACTTGGGCTTGGTTCCCTTACTTTAGTGTTAACCTCTCGCTGGGGTTCTGTCCCTCAGTATGTTTTGGTTCTTCCTACTCTCTCTTCTATCCTCTTCTCCCTCCTTCCTTCTTCTCGTTTCCTAGGGGTGTGTCAATTGGTTTTATCACACATTTAAATTTCCTAGGTTAAGGGAATGAATGTTAAAGGATTCAATAATCCTAGGAAGCGATCCCAGGTATTGTATTATATGCATAAATGTAAGATTCAGATTCTGTTCCTGCAGGAGACGCATTTCCAATCCTCGGTTGCTCCAAGTTGCCCACCAGACACTATGCCTTGTGGCACACCAGTAATAACCCATTAAAGAAATCTAAAGGCGTGGCTGTGGGGTTCCACTCTTCTCTCCCGGTTACAGTTTCCAAAGTGCTGTCGGACCCTGAGGGTAGATATCTCTTTCTGCAATGTTTAATATACCAAAAGCCTTTTACACTGGCCAACATTTATTTACCTAATATTGGACAAAAAAGGGCCTTCTTGACTGTCATAGCCAAACTGGAAAATGTCATGGTCGGTCATACTATTATTGGGGGGGATTTTAATTTTGATATTGATGTCGTCCCAGATTCCTCCTCTGGGAAAACTCACTTCTCCCTACCCTCTTTAAATGCTGTTCGTAAATGATTACGAGCAATACAATTGGTTGACATCTGGCGCACGTTACACCCGACCGTGAAGGACTATACGTTCTATTCAGCGCCACACACCACATATACTGTAGCAGAATTGACTATTTTTTCACCTCACACTCCTTACTTAGTTGGCGGCCGTGCACGTCCATTGGCCCACAAATCTGGTTGGACCATTTCCCTGCTTTCCTTAGTTTCTCGATACCGGGCACATCTAAAAGTTTCCCCTCCTGGAGACTTAATGAGTCACTCCTGCGGGATCCAACTGTACTGGAGGCACTCAGATCCTAGATTAGAGAATTCCGGGAACAATCACTCGTCGGATGAGTCTTTGCCCCCAGTACAGTGGGAGGCACTTAAGTGTGTCCTTCGTGGCATCCTGATCCAGCATGGATCTAGACTAAAGACTTCTGGCGAAACTAGCCAACACTGAATTGAAACACAAATCGATACCTTCTCCATCTCTTTATCAGGAAATAGTCACTTGCTGTGCGGAACTCTGTTCTGTGTTGGATTTGGCTTACCTGGGTCACAGGATCTGACCCTGAGATCCTTTCACGAGTTCGGCAATAAGAGTGGCAAACTACTGGCTCGCTCCATTCGAGCGAAAAGACTCCAGACCTATGTGTCCTCAATTAATTGTCCACAACAGGGGCGGGTTCACTCTTCCAAGAGTATTGCACGCACTTTCTATAATGAATTATTATTCTTCTCTGTATAGTTTAGCTCCAGCCACATCCCAGGGTGAGGCGGGTTGCCTCAAGGAAAATATATTGACCTATCTTTCCCTGTCGGCTGTTCAATCCCTTGCAACTCCATTTACTTCAACAGAGATCTCAGACACCATTAAGTCCTTACCTTCTGGGAAGAGCCCAGGCCCAGATGGCTATACTAGTATCTTTTACAAAACCCTTCATGATCCTTTGCTTCCCCTTCTAGAGACAACGTATAACTCCGTCTCTAACTCCTGTGCCTTCCCTAAACAGTCTCAGGAGGCTCATATAACAGTTTTGCCCAAGGAGGGGAAGGACCCCTCCACCTGTGCCAGCTACAGGCCCATCTCCTTAATTAATTTAGACATGAAAATATATGCAAAAATTATTGCTAATAGACTGAAAATTCACATCCCTTCTTTGATCCATTTAGACCAGGTGGAGGTGGGCTTTGTTCCTTCAAGGGAGGTCGGAGACATCTCAAAATCCCTTACTCTCATGGCTTATGCATGCTCCCATCACATCCTGCTCTGTCTCTTATCAGTGGATGCAGAAAAGGCTTTTGTTCGCCTCAGTTGGACTTTTATGTTGGCTACCCTACAACAAACCTACCTGATTGATCATGCCCTCTTCCAAGGGTGAGGCTCAGGTGTGCATACAGATTGGTGATGGAATGGACGCACCCCTTTCCGTTTCTCTTTCTGCTTCTGCTCTACTTTGTCTAGACTTCTGTTCCCTCTTCTTCTACTTGGCTATTCTCTACTTCCTCTGACTCCCCTTTCATTTTCACTTCTGTTCTTTTGTTTTCCCCTTCTGTACTTTCAGTTTCTGCACTATTTGGTATAGGCTGTGACCCGTGAAACATGTCTTCCTATTTTGCTTGAATGAAGTGTGCGTTCGAACCCAGGTTTTCTTATGTCTTAGCCATACCCTTGGATTGTGTACGTGCAGGGGACAGCTGGCAGATGCCTCCTGTGAGATCTCCTGTTATATAGGCCATGAGCACGGTCTTCCAATTATATACCTACATGTCATACTTCAATGTCACATGCATGTGTGGACTTTTTTCCTGACTTGACTACTCTTGCTACTTCTTTGTATAATTTTCTTCAATAAAAACATAATCTTTAAAATAAAAAATAGGGTGCATGACAGGTGATTTTGGCCCTTCGGAAGCACCCACTAAATTGACTGATGTAGCATACTAATCCAAATGGCTCAGAATGCATGTAAGCAAAGAGGTGGCTCAAACAGTGTAGCATTTGGAGGTGTGGTTTTGTTGTTGTCTGGAATTGGATATGCCAGAAAAGAATGAACCTGAATGAGTCTGCCCTCGTGGCCAGTGAGTGAGCTGTATGACTGCCTGAAGCGGTAAAATTTGTGTACACATTTACTGAGAGATGTGCTCAGTAACCAACTTGGTGTGAAGCGATACTTTAAAACTATTTAGGTCAAAGAATTTATAAAGAAAATCACTCAGTTTAGTTGTTAAAAATAACTTTTGTTTAGAAGAGAGTCAGTTTATTATCCTTTTGGTATAGCACATTATGGGAGGGGTAATCAGAATTCAGTCAGACTAGTAGAAGATGAATTTGGATTGGTTGCTTTAGATCACTGCGCTTACAAAATCTTTATTGCATGCAAACAGTTTTTCTTCAAATATTGTCAAAATTATTTATTGTTTTCTAATAACAATAGAGAAAGGATATATGGGTTGAGTTCATAAGTTTACAAAAAGATTAATTCAATTGTGATATATAGAAAACTAAAAAATAAATGCATTGTTTTTACCTAGCGAAAGCTATTGCTTAAAATGAACAGATTAAAGAGCCTGCAATAGACTGAATACAGAAATGTTTACTTTTATATTATTATAAGGATTACTGTAATGCCCGGAATGATGTCCATGTATGAAAACATGCAGACCACACCAAAGCAACAAAAGTGTGTTGGACATACCAAAACAGAAGGAGGTGCAGGCTCATGGACAAAAAAAAAATCTAACTACTTTATATACCGCATTTGCCTTATCAGCTTTTAGAAGCTTACACATAGTACTCACCAAAAGCTCTAGCAATGGCAACACTCTCCAGTACTCCCATCAGTGGAATGATGAAAAGCCCAGCTCCAATGTTCTGGTGAAATTCAGCAACATTACAGTCATTGTGCATTTATTACATGCAGAACACACTGCAAATCCATAGTACTCCAACTCTCTTCCAGACACTGACCCTACACCCTATTATTGGCAGTGCCCCTTTCCTACCAAGTCTGAATACTAACTCCTAGAAATCTTTACAGAAATGTGAATTTAGATATGCCCATCGGGTCATATCCTCTGCTCCTTGCAAAGTCATACAGAACATAAATCAATTTGCTTGCTTCAGATCTACAAAAAGGCTAGTCAATAAATAGCATTTTAATTACATTTAACTCAATTCACTTCAGCTGCAGGCCAAAACAATGTTCCATTTTATACTTTCCAAAGAAAAGTATTGCTCCTCAGTCAAAGCAACCCACATCATGTCCATGCTACATAAACTTCTGTGGGGAGTATAGTTTAAAAGCAGGCCAGTATACAGAGCCCGGAAACTTAGTAGCCCAGCAAAGAATGGAGACAGCCTCTGCCAAACTATTATTTGCCTTCCATTAAATGAATTTAAGGTCCTACTGAAAACTATCCAGGGCCATGTCTGGCAATATCGATGTGTTATACTTTGTAAACCTTGCACCTTGCTGTAAAGCTGGTAATGAATTGATGAGTGCGTTTGCCATTTGTTTTGCTATACTTTGTAAACCGTCTCATCCAACCTTAAACATTTTTTTTACAATATTTTAAGAGGGCCGCAGGCTTGGACTATCCCTACCCAAAAGCCTGCTACATTATTTAATTACCCTCGACCAAGAGTAAGATGTCATCAGTTACATAACATGGATTATCAATGAGCACTTATTGCCACAGAGATTAAATATGTTCCTCTCTTTCTTCATGTCAATTTTCTCTCCTTTTGTCTCTCCTTTCAGTTTTAAACTGTTTACTAGATGATAATTTTACGTGTAAACTCACAGAGTTTGCAATACAGATCCAATAACAATATAGAAAGCAAGTCTTTCCATGTACCTAGCAAGACTTAGGAAAGCATCCTGACTTGCTTGGCATTTGTCTTTTTTCTTATACTAATACTTGATATCTTCCTAAGTTACCAAATGTCTATTCAATAAAAAAAGGATGACCCATGAATTTTACAGTGGATGATAATCACAAAAAGTCACCTACCTGCACCATCTCGCTGAAAGGAATAGTGTGATTACCTACAGCCTCGGAGAAGGGGGGCAGATGGAATTGAGGGAGGCCTTCTGCAGTCTTTCCGGTAAGGACAAAAGGAGACAGCCCCATGATTTCAAATGAATAGGCCACCAATCCTGCAGCCACCACCACAATTGCATTGCGAGCTACAGTAACAAATAGTTATTACACATCAGAAATGTCAGGTATCCTCAAAGGCTTAAAGACATGTCACTGGAAAAAAGCCTTCTCTTTTTACCTACCTGTTGTAGTTACCCAAATAATGATGTAGCTCAACCGATAACATCTTGGCATTCCTCTATATGTTCTTGGGAAATGGTCCTTCATCCATTTAAGTGCCAAAAGAAAGCCAATACACAGAAAACCAAGGATGGCATCCCCAAGTCTAGAAAACATGGATTAAATCATATTTTAAAGTGACACTATACTCAAAAGTTAAATCTTAAAAATGCATTCAAGTACCTTAACTATAAACAAACATTTACCTTATTTGTGTATCACTCAGCTGTAGATCCTCCATCATCTCTGAATTGGTGCTGACATCGTCCTTCCTTCTGGAGGGCGCCTACTTTTGTTCCCCATGGTCCCTGTGTGTGTGCAAAGTAGCCACCGCTCCAAGCTCACTCCTGTGATGAACTACAATCTCATGTTTAGTTTACTAATTTGTATTGAGATTGTATCCATCACGGAGCAGGCTTGGAGCGGTAACTACTTTATAACACACACAGGGACTATGGGGAACAAAAGTAGCCACCATCCAGAAGGAAGTACAGTGTCAGCACCAATTGAGAGATGATTGGAGAATCTACATTTCAAAAATACACAAATAAGGTCCAGAATTGTTAATAGTTAAGGTACTTGAATGCATTTGTAAGATTTAACTCCTGAGTTTAGTGTCACTTTAAGTTATAAACACAACTCCCTAAACTAGCATGTGTACTGAAAAATCATTGGTTAAAATCAAAACTCTCACCTGGTCAATGGAAGTTTGTGGAATGTTTCATAGACTTGTAAGACAAATTGGCGTGGAATATCCTTTAAACCCAGAAGGTTCTGTCAGCACAAGAGAAATACAGAAAATTGCTTGTTAAAGAGATCCCTATATATGAGTATGCTATTGCTCTTTAATGGTATAATATGAAGGACTGGGAAGGTAGTATTTACTGCACACCTACAGTAAATACACCAATGTAACAGTCAGTTCAAAATGCTGCCTCAAGAAATCCTCTTGATTTAATCAATGTGTGTTAAGTGTTTTTTTTTTTGTTGTTTTTTTTTTAGAAGTTAGTTTCTTCATATACAGTTGTGCTCCAAGGTTTGCATGCCCTGGCAGAAATCATGACATTTTGGCATTGATATTGAAAACATGACTGATCATGCCAAAAAATGTATTACTGAAAAATGGCCTGGCCAGGAAGGGGGTCTAAACACCTGGTCTTGAAGTGGTTAAGGATAGTGATCATATGAAGCCATTTATTATGATATAGTTGTTTGACGTTTAAAATCATAATGATAACAGAAATCACCCAAATAGCCCTTACCAAAAGTTTACACACCCTGGAATGTTTGGCCTTGTTACAGACACAGAAGGTGACACACCCAGGTTAAAATGGCAATTAAAGGTTAATTGGCTTTTTAAATTGTAATTAGTGTCTGTGTATAAATAGTCAATGAGCTTCTTAATTCTCACATGGATGCACTGAGCAGGCTAGATACTGAGCCATGGGGAGCAGAAAAGAACTGTCAAAAGATCTGTGTAACAAGGTAATTGAACGTTATAAAGATTGTGACAGCAGGCAAAATGGCCTGGGTGTATCCAGGATGGTATATATGTGTGTCCCAAGTTCAATTGGCATACAGATCTTTTCCACTAGAGGGAGTGCTGGGAGGGCTTGAAATGGTAGAGGTAATGAGCCCAGCTGAAGCAAGCTGGCTCATTAGGCCTGAGTAGACTGGAGAGCTTGCTACCTACCTGCGTGGTGAAAAAACAAACTTGTGCGTTGAGACAGCCTGTGCGGCAGTTTTTTGAATAGTGAGCTAGGGGCAGCACAAGGTTGCACCTAGTGGTTAGTGAGGATAACAGTGTGTGTAGTAAGTTGCCAAAAGGCGAGGGTTTATTTCTATGTTTTGTTTGTTTTGCTCATAAATAGTGTATATAAACTGCATGTGTGTTTTCACCTGACGAAATCGTTGCTTGCTTTGCCTAATTTCTGTGGAGTGAACCCATCCAGGGAGTCACACACACCTGCTGGCAAGCTAAAACACCCTCACAATATGGAAATGGATATAAAAAGATATCCAAAACCTTGAAAATGCCAGCCATTACTGTTCAATCACTTATTAAGAAGTGGAAAATTTGGGGATCTCGATACCAAAGCTAAAGTCAGGTAGACCAAGAAAGATTGCAGCCACAACTGCCAGAAGAATTGTTTGGGATACAAAGAAAAACCCACAGGTAACATCAGGAGAAATACAGGCCGCTCTGAAAAAAGACGGAGTGGTTGTTTAGAGGAGCACACTATACAATGATACTTCAACAAAAATGAGCTGCATAGTGGAGATGCCAGAAAGAAGCCTTTACTGTGCCAATGCCACAAAAAAGCCCGGTTACAATATGCCTGACAACACCTTGACATGTCTCACAGCTTCTGGCACACTGTAATTTGGAGTGACGAGACCAAAATAGAGCTTTATGGTCACAACCATAAGAGCTATGTTTGAAGAGGGGTCAACAAGGCCTATAGCGACAAGAATACCATCCCCACTTGGAAGCATGGTGGTGGCTCACTGATGTTTTGGGGGTGTGTGAGCTCTAAAGCCATGGGGAATCTTGTGAAATTTGATGGCAAGATGAATGCAGCATCTTATCAGAAAATACTGGCAGACAATTCGCATTCTTCTGCATGAAAGCTGCGCATGGGACGCTCTTGGGCTTTCCTGCACGACAATGACCCTAAGCACAAGGCCAAGCTGGCCCTCCAGTGGTTGCAGCAGAAAAAGGTGAAGGTTCTGGAGTGGCCATCACAGTCTCCTGACCTTAATATCATCAAGCCACTCTGGGGGGGATCTCAAACTTGCGGTTCATGCAAGACGACCAAAGACTTTGCATGACACGGGGCATTTTGCCAAGATAAATGGGCAGCTATACCACCTGCAAGAAATCAGAGGCCTCATGGACAACTATTACAAAAGACTGCACGCGGTCATTGATGCTAAAAGAGGACAATACACAGTATTAAGAACTAGGGGTATGCAGACTTTGAACAGGGGTAATTCCATTTTTTGATTGTGCCATTGTTATGACCTACAGTTGAATATGAATCCCATAAGAAATAAAAGAAATGTGAGGCGCATGCGCGAGCTTGACCAAGATGGCCGCACGCTAATCAGCTCCGCGCCGGAACGGGAGAAAATCTGACTTTTACGGTAGATCACCGGACTCGTTTTCGCACCCGATACAGATCCCTAGACTCGGGCTCTCATCGCCGATCTGTAGATACCGAGATGTCGCAGACTAGAAGTCGGGGTGGTAAGACGAATCAACCGCCCCTCCACGAGGCCTTAGGCCGCGCGGCTCATAAACTGGCTGCAGCGCCGCCACTCTCTCATCAAGAGGACTCTAATTCCTCGATGGAACCCCAAGATCCACAGGGAGACAGCCTTCAGATGGCTCAGTCCGACCCTGAGATGACACCATCCCTGATGGCCCAATTTGAGGTAACCCTCCACAAAGCCTTGGACAAGGTTTCTAAGCAGATCACCTCACAGCTCATTAGGGAAATCAGGGATGTGGGCAAACGAACTTCCACATTGGAATCCCGCTGCAACGACATCACTACCATCATTGAGGGTCATGAGGAAGACTTGGAAAAACTTCGCTCACTGAATCTAACCCTTCTCACGCAATTGGAAGACACTGAGAACCGGGACCGCAGATCTAATCTGCGCATCAGAGGGGTCCCAGAGGCGGTGACAGATCTCCAATCCACTATAACTGCACTATTTCAGGAACTAGCGCCCGATATTCCTATAGACAGGATGGAATTTGACAGGATTCACAGGGCCTTAACGAGACGCACGCCTGACGGTCCACCGAGGGACATTATCGTGCGTCTCCACTTCTACCGCACCAAAGAACACCTACTTCGAGCGGCTAGGGAAGCTGGGGCCCTGAATTTCCAAGGTTACTCATACCAAGTCTATACAGACCTTTCACCAGCCACTATTGCACGTCGACGGGACTTTAAACTCTGCTGCAAGTCCTGCAGGCCAAGAAAATTCAATACCGCTGGGGCTTTCCCTTTAAGCTACAATTCTTCTACGACGGCAAACCTTACACTTTTCTCACAGTGGAGGAGATGAGGGAATGCCTGGACTCTCTGCATCTGTTGGGTCGCACGGATGTGGCCCGACGAGGATGAAGTACTTTTCTCACAGTGGAGGAGATGAGGGAATGCCTGGACTCTCTGCATCTGTTGGGTCGCACGGATGTGGCCCCTGACGAGGATGAAGAGCCCAGGATGCCTCGACTGTCCCCAGGCAGGGACCGCCCGCCGTGCCCCAACCTGGCTCCTTCGGCCTCTCCAAAAGCACCACGGATGACACGGAATCTCCCCTCTGCCACAGGATCCTTTGGATGACGCCGCACCACCGTTTTTGTCTTTGTTTTTCCTTCTTTTGCCACCTCATTTAGGTGGAATGCGGTTCACCCAGGAAATGATACTGTGTTTTAATACACACTGAATGTGAAAGTGTGATCACTGTTATAAGCATTTTACACAAAACAAATAAAAACTTATCGGAAAAAAAAAAAAAAGAAATAAAAGAAATCTGTTTTGCCTGCTTACTCATGTTTTCTATAAAAATGGTAAATATATCACCAATGCTCCAAGGGTATCAGGGGTGTGGAATTCCTATCGCCCGGTGCCCGGGACATGCATTTTCGGGCGCCGGGCGAGTAGTTTTTTTTAACATTTAGCCCTGCTCTGGACAAGCAGTGCTAAATGTACAGCGTGGGGCCGCCGCTCATTTTTTATACAAGCGATCTAGTTAGATCACTTGTATGAAAGGATCGGCGGCTATTGTGTCCGGTCACCGCCACCTGTCTCAGCCATCAGGAACTGCACAGAACAGAACATCAGTTCTATGTTGGAGGGCAGGTTCCATAGAGAGGACCGATCACCTCCAAACTATCACATAGGAGTTTTTAAGCCCTATGTGATAGGAATAAAATTAAGTGGGAGAAAAAATAAAAACGTATTAAAAAATAATAAAATATATAAAAATAAAGTGATAAAGTAAAAAAAAAAGTTAAAACCAACCCCGCTACCACCGTTATCTGGATGCAAATAAATGCATGCATAGGACATTGTGCGCTTGCGTTGAGTGCTGCCGCCATTCCACTGTGTGCCATATCGTGGTAGCCAAGCAGCAGCAGCACTCTCCTGCACGCACAATGTGCATTAAATGAGAACTATGGGTTCAGTGTTTTTCCCCATAGTTCCCCTAAGGGTCACTGGAGGACATAAACTAGCGTCCTCCCGCGAGCTACAGCTCACTAAATACGGAGACCGCCGCAGTCGACATGGATCCTGACATTACTTTTGAGATCCACCCAGCTGCATGATTGACAGCTGGCTCTGCCTATCTAGAGGCAGAGCCAGCTGTACCCGCCCCCTCCCCCGTTCGTTCCTCCAGTCAGTGCTGGAGGATCAGAGCGGGGAGGGGGAGAAGGGGAGCCGTGAGTGACAGTTACGGCTCTCTGCAGGGACAGGATCGAGAAGCGAGCGACATTGTGTGTTCCCTCACTTCCTGATCTATAGAGCCGACCTGTGACAGTTTCATTGTTACACGTCGGCTCGAACTATGAGGCTAAGTGAAAATCACTCACCTCATAGTCCTCCTTTAAAAAGCAAGCTCACTTTCCCAAGTAATATGGGAAAATGGAATTAACCAATCAAATCTGACCCTCCCCCCTCCCCTTCCCCCCCGGCTATACTTACTTTTCGGTGAACAGTCCTTACCCTCCGCCTGTACAGTCCAGACCTATGCATTTTGAATTTTGCTGGCAAATTGCAAGCACTCATTGGTCAGCGTGGTCAGGTGACCACGCTGACCAATGAGAAGCACTATTTAGCACAATCAAATACAGTTTTGATTAGGGATGCACCAATACAGTATATGTGGGCAAGTACTTGTACTCGCCCAAATGCTCCGATACCTTCCCCAATACTGGAACTTCTGGTCAGCGGGAAGATTTACTCTGACCGGCAGTGCCGGAGGGGGAACATGGAGCCAGCTTCCCGTGCAATCAGAAAGCGGGGCAGTGACTAATGACCCACCCCAGTTTCCTGATTGGCTGGGAAGTCGGCTTCCTGGCCAATCAGGCCATTATTCACCGCCCGGTTTCCTGATTGGCTGGCTCGATGCTGATTGGCTTGGAAGCCGGTTTCCTGGCCAATCACGATCAAGCCGGCCAAACAACATGGAGTCGGCTTCCCTGGCAATCAGGAAGCTGGGTAGCATGTGATTACCTGCTGCCCAGCTTCCTGATGGCATGGAGCATGTTTCTCGGGCAAACAGAATCATTGCTCGTGCTCGATACCCAAAAACCTATATCGGTGCATCCATAGTTTTGATTAAAACTATTTTTTTGTATTGGGACAAGTAGATTGTCATGAGGGACAAGTAGATTCGGCCCCTGCTTTAGCCCTTGGACAAGTAGTTTTTTTTTTTATTTCCACACCCCTGGGTATGCAAATGTTTGAGCACAAACGTAGATTGTAATTATATATGTGCATGGGAGCATATTTCCTTTATAGACATGAAAGGTCTATTGCCTGCTTTCCAGTGCTACTATGTGACAGCACTTCCTGCCTGGAGGATCTCTTATCTCAACATTTGTTAAAGATGAACTGAGCGTTGGGGGTCTGGCAGAAGCACAAGTCATAATGTTTAACAATGCTGAGTATATTTGCACATTTATAGCTAGTACTCCACCCATTAAGTCATGGGTGCTCTGCTCCAGCAATGACAGCTGCGTGCTGTCTTTTGTCGTACCAATGGTTTTACTGTAATCTTTCCTGAAGCTTCTTATGCTGCCACCATCTTCCTTGTTCAGCTGTAGGGCAGCCAGTAATGATGCAATGCTCAAACATCTGCAATGGAGTTGCACTACCCAGCTTACAGATGCTAGGAATGTACAGTGTATAAAAAAAAACTTTTCCTGTAGCAACATAAAAGTCTCTTCTACAATAATTTTTTATTTTAAACACACACTTGAAAATGTGAATGTTACATCAAAATTAATTTAAAAACTAAATGTAGAACTCAAAATAAGTGTCAGTTAAAAATCACTTTGTTTTTAGGTGCATTTGTGAGCACTTTTCACAGGTCGAGGTGCATTTTGATGCATCTTAACATACACAATGCACAAACTGCTTACAAAAAGATGTACAACATGCATGAAAATGTTCACAAACTCACATGGAATTGTATACCTATGCTTATTTAACATGGCACAGTGTAAATAAACATTAACTGTGTTAAAAATGCCTTAAAAAATTATCTTTAAGTTTTAACACAGACATACCTTAACCTGGCTGAAGCCGATAGTAATTGCTGCTGCTGAAGTAAAGGCTTTGATGACAGGATAGGATATAAAATCTAAAAGAAAACCTGAGATAACAAAATTATGTTGTTTAAGTGTTGTCAATGGCTTGAGGTTTGCAACATGATTTGTGTGAAAAAATATAAAGGCTCACCAAAATTTAACAGCCCCATAACCAGCTGAATGCAGCCTGATAGGAATGCCAACAGAATAGCCAATGATGTGTCACCAGAGGTGTAGATTGCCACAAGGAGGGACATTATGGCTGTGGGACCTAACGTTACATCTTTGGATGTCCCAAACAGACAATAAATAAAGCATCCAATAAACGAAGAGTAAAGCCCAAACTGCAAAGAAAAGATGTGCCGGTCAGCACACAAAACGGACGTCGTGTGAACAGGCCCTAAAAGCACGGCTACATTCTGGAACACCTGCTAAATATACACTACATAAGTTTAGACATGTGTTGCTATACCTGCTTCCCCATATTTTTACTGCTTTCTTCCTAGTACCTTCTCTAAACCCTGCTGGAAAGGGTAACCCATTAAATGTACAACCCTGATGCAATGTCAGAATATTTTGTTATGCACCTTGAGGCTAGGGTTACATCTGGGCTATCCATGACCACGCGACAATCATGCAGATTCCCGGGCAGTCTTGGAGTCGCCCACCACAGGCGATCATGCTGGCGGTCCCATTATTTCCTAATGGCACCCCAGTCGCATCGGGTGGATTGTGCGGTTTCCCGTTGGGATTCCACCGTGCAATTGAACACGATCGCGGGTAAAAAAAAAAGCTGTGCGTTGTGTGTTGCCAAAAAAAGGTACTTTTTGAAATCCATGGGACCGCGTGGCAACCGCTGTGTGCAGTAGCGCACAATTGCGCAATCCCGGGACGGGTATCGCTCAGGTCTGAACCTAGCCTACAGTTGGCTTTTTCCCCCTTTCACTAAAAATCACATCAGAATGCAGCTCTCCTGATTTAAAATCATATTACATTTATTAGTTAAAACTTGTTTTTCATTTATTTACAAATAGAGTTTATCTACTCCCTGGTCCACTTTGGTACAAATTATGTAATGTGCCCAAGCGTTGCATCCTGGGAAGGTTACATCAGCAGAGTATTGCTGGGAAATCTCATGAGATCTCAGCGAAAGGCATTTTCCTCCCCTGAGATGATGTGCATGGTCACATGTCCTAGTCACATGTGCCAGAGTTCCAGGAAGTAAAGGGAGATATAAAAAAATGTGACGTTAATCTCGTGCCAATAATAGCTGTTACCTTATGAGATTTATATCAAATCTCCATGAACATATGTATATATTTTTTGTATTTAAACATATTCTATGTTGTGTGACTGAAAGGAGTAGGGAAATGATTGGTGTTTATACTGTCCTGAGGAATTGATTACATGGGGATTTTGAATGTAATTATGAAATCTGTCCAGGCCTGTTCATTGTAAATGGTCAAAACAAGAGACAATAAGATCCATGAACACTTCGGAGCCAAGACCCTTGATTCTCACAATAGGTACATACTTTCTTTTGTCTCTGACCAAGATCTTCAAAGGTTTCCATGTAGGTAGTAAACAACTAGAGTGTCCGCCCTGGTTTAGATGCAATCTTGGTCTGGGGTTAGCCTACGGACACCTGCTCATCTGGAATTACCCACCATAAAATTGAATAGCATAGTGCTATTAAAAGATTTGCATAGCAAGGGGTTGGAAGTTCTAACAAAGGGTATTTGGAAATATCCAATACCAATAGAAGAATTCTAATCTGAATAAATTAAGCATTGGGAGGCCACCAAAAGGTGGTTCTCAATGGGTCCCTATGAACACACGGGGTATATCAACCAAAGGGGGAAGAGATTAGGGTTCTTTTTGATCACCAGAGGGGCCCATACCTGAACATCTCCTGGTAATTATCCGGATACGTCTGTGCATTTATACAGTATATGTTGTGTATTTCTCTTGAATGTATGTACCATGGCGTGTGTTTTATTAACATGTCTATACATGCTTAGATCTCGTCTTTATGTTTTGTAGTTAAAGAGATTGTTGGTTCACTGTATTTAAGTCTGAATACTATATACCAATACATTTCTGTTATTGTGTTGAGCTTGAAAATATCATGATTGAATCCTCAGAACATTATACTTGTAAGTGTGAATGCTTATATAGCAGATCATAACTTAAACTAGGAATTTTGGGTAACATAACTCAACTGCTGTGTGCACTAATTATAAACAAAGCCAGTAAACAATGTAAAAGGTGCAGCGCTATATAACAAACTAAAGTGAACAAACTAATAATAAAGAGAAAAAATGTATCAATATATTCAATCACAAAATGTGTATAAATTTCACTTTCCAGATTAAAAGTGCAACGCCACCACGATCTTCTATTAATGCAATATAAGTTTTTTATACAATCACCAGTCTTAGTGTCCTTCATAAATTATAATAAAGTCCTTTGCAACAATAAAGTGACAAGCTTTTACCACTCTGGTGTCTGTTTTTGAACTTCTTCAATCCACCACTTTACACGTGAACCTTTGCTCAAACAGGCTGCTCACCTTATCCTTAGACATCTCTTACAAAAGGTCGCAATGCGCCTTGTGGCAATCCACAGCCACTTTAAATCACCTTTTTATTAGCCAAAGAAAGCAATCCTATTCTTATCCGTGCCACTCATAAAAAGGAAATAAACAGAGAACAAAAGTCCTGGACGGTAGGTAGCACAATCTAAACTGGAGGGACAAGGGAGGGGTTTTTTTAACTGTTCTAGTTGTGTTTCCTGTAGTTGGAGGAACCAATCAACTCTCAGGTTGTTGTCCTGGAAGATGACTGGGGAAATTTCCAACCCAGACAGGTTTTATAATGGCAGACAAGCTCTTGACGCTACTAGGAGCATTCTCAAATTAATTCATTTTGCTAAGAACCACAAAACACCTCTGCTCCTTGGACTGGACAATGGAAAGGCATTTGACACAATCTATTGGAGTTATCTTTCACAAGTACCCCAAAAATTTGGTTTCTCTGGCAACATCCTCTTGCCTATCATGGCCCTAATACTCCACAATGGTCCACAACACACTTCAACTGTTTATCACTGTCTCCCATTACAAAATTAAGAACACCAAATCCTACATTCTAAACCTAGGGGTGGATAGTAAAACCCATCTGATTTCAGCAATCCTTGTCCCCTACACATAAAGTGACAATGGAATCTCCTACCTAGTGATCACTTGCACCACCTGTCTTCTCTTTAGACACAACTATAATCTCTTACTTGATAAATCCCAGAAGGACTTAGCAAGTGAAATTTGAGCTCTCCTGGTCAGTCAGATTTGTGACTTTAGAAATTCCGTTCCTTCCAAAGATCTTGCATCTCTTACGCATTCTCTCTATCCAAAAACAACCTTCATATCTTGCTAGGCTCAACAGTATACAGGTGAAACTCGAATAATTAGAATATCGTGCAAAGTTCATTTATTTCACTAATGCAACTTAAAAGGTGAAACTAATATATGAGATAGACTCATTACATGCAAAGGAAGATAATTCAAGCCGTGATTTGTCATAATTGTGATGATTATGGCTTACAGCTCATGAAAACCCCAAGAACCCCAAATCCACAACCTCAAAAAAGTAGATTACATGAAATCAATAAAACAAGTATTGTACATAGAACAATATCGGACCTCTGAAAAGTACAAGCATGCATATGTACTCAGTACTTGGTTTAGGCCCCTTTTGCAGCACTTACTGCAATTACTTTTGCACGATATTCTAATTATTCGAGTTTCACCTGTAATCAAAGCCTTTGTGTGGCAATGCTAGAAAGCCATATGTGCACATGCTCATCTGATTAAACATAGAACTTCTTGGGGGTATGGGTTCAAGCCATTATCATAACTATCTTCCGAATAACAGTTGCTGGATCAGGAGAGCTTTTGCCATCAACAAATTACTTATTTTATCCAACATACTCACCAATCAGGCCCTATAATCCATCAAAGAGTGTGGCAACTTTTCAACTCCTCCAACTTTGAGGCATCACCGTTTTCTACAACCTAATTCACAATAAACTAACTTTGACCAAATCTGCTGCCTTTCTAAAGTGGGAAAGGGACCATGGAACTACCTACACAACTTTCCAGTAGCTCCGAGTTCTCAAGGCCAATCATACTTCTTCACACTGTGTTAACCCATAGAAGCTTTGTCAAGAAATAACATTACGATGGTGCTCGACTCTGTGCCAGATAGCCAAATTCTCTCCATCCTATTCTCCCCTAAGTTGGTGGGATTGCGGGCAGTTGGCTTACCTACTCCACACTTTATTTTTATTTATTACAGTTATTTATATAGCGCCAACAATTTACACAGCACTTTACAGTGCACATTCACATCAGTCCCTGCCCTCAAGGAGCTTACAATCTAAGGTCCCTATCTCACATGCATACATACAGGGCCAATTTAGACAGGAGACAATTAAGCTTCCAGCATGTCTTTGGAGTGTGGATGGAAACCGGAGTACTCGGAGGAAACCCACGTAAGCACAGGGAGAACATGCAAACTCCTATATGTTTCGTGTCTGATTACTGGCCATGCCAAGCTATCGCATGGATCTATGACTGATCATGATTATATATGCTCCTACCAAGCGCATCTTGTCACACAATAACTTTCCTATTGAATGTACCCATGTGTCCTTGCCTTTCCTTGTTAAACTTGAAATTTGGGGGGTTTTAAGTAATTTTCAGGCCTAAAATGTGGAATATAACATGGGTACAAAAAATTAAAAAAAGGCCTCAGTCATGAAGGGGTTAATGAAGAAAAATTAAGAAAACAAAAATCTGGGAAAAAAACATGGCTTAGAGTTTCACTTAATTGAAATTCTCTCTTACCTCCACAGGTAGGCCAGCTACCTCCGCATAAGCAAGAGCCTGGGGCACCACTGTAAGTCCAACTGTAAATCCAGCAATGATATCAAGCTGTAGCCATTGCAGAGAATAGTTTGGTAACCAGGATATGAATGGTAATCTCCTCTGTACTGCTTCCAAAGAGCAACATCTTGACAGTACTCCAGCACTGATCCTTCTCTGGTTACCCAGCCAATCCATATTTGTTGATCCTAGTCACAACATTCCTTCCTAAATAAGAAAAAGAACAGATAATGTATGCCTCAGCCCAAAAAATACAATCAAATGATTTACTAAGGGAGGGAAAACAACAATTATGGTGGTGCAAAGTACAATATCCCATAGCAAGTATGATTACTTGCTATGGGACAGTGTTCTGATGAACACTGATCAAATTGAAGCATAATCAGTAGGGTTGCACAGATACCAAGTACAGTGCTCGGTACAAGTACGAGTACATGCACCGATACTTTTGAGCTCCAAGACTAGACTAGAGAAAAATTCAAAAATTAGGAGGCAGCTGTCATGTGTAAGGAGCACACGGAGCTCCTGGGATTTGTACATCTCTGTTTTAATGTACGGTTTTGTTTTTATAAATATAAATAAAGGGATGCACAGATACCAGTTTTGCGAGTACGAGTACTGGTACTTGCCGAGTAATTACAAGTACGAGTACTGATACATTTTTGTTTATTGTCATGTGACAGTTTTCTAAAACAATACAGACTAATGATTTCAGGACAGTGGTGGAGTGCCAGAGCCAGGTCCCATCTGCAACCGCTGCAACCCTGGTAGTTCTCATGAAAATGCCAAGTATCGGCACTGGTACTCGAAAAGTATCTGTGCATCCCTCAGGTTGCCATGGTTTACTGCTCTTTATCTAGGCGTGTTGCTTTTTGCATTTCCTTTCTGAATAAATTCAAAACTTAAAAAATGTAAACATTCTATTAGGTCCCACAATACCTAATGGGGGCTGCCAATGTAGGTTAAAATTCAATAGAATGTTGAAGTTTGCTCAGCCTTGCATGTCTCTTAAAGCAGAACTCCAGGCAAAAGTATTCTAAATCCTAGCAGTGGGGCTACCCAAGGGTTAAGTGCTTGTTTTTGTCTACATGCTAATACTCACCTGAACTGTGGAGCTGGCTGGCTGCTACTCTGGTCCCTGAAGCCTGTCTCCTCCACCGCTGCATCCCTTGGTATGTCCCCTGGAGTCCTCATGTCCTATTCACTGTGTATAGAATGTGATGATTCAAGGATCCTTAGACTGCTGTAGTGGGGAGGGGGGACCGGGGACCTGGCTAAGGCCCCGTTCACATTGAGCGATTTATCGCACGGTAATTCCCGCGATATCGCGGCTATTTACCGAGCGATATCGCGCTCCAATGCTTGTCCTAGGTTGGCCAAAATGTAGAGAAAACTGGCCAACTCCAACTACACATCTTATCACCACAACTGAAACTGGGCTTCATCCTCACTCCAGCGGCACGTTACTGATAGAGGTGAAAAGATCCTGATCACTGCTAGAAAACTGCCCAAAATCTGTCACTGTGGTATTGTCTCCTTTCTCTTTTTCACTCCAGGACTACATGGACACCCCGTCACACTTACCTGTGCCATGTTCAGGTGCTGGGTTTGTCCAAGGTGCTTGTCTTCCACCCAATTGCAGGTCGCAGACTCTCGGGCTCTCTTCTAGAGCTGGCACACTTGGTACTTGGCATCCGAGCAATGTGTCATTCTACTTGCCGCACCCCCTGTGTGTCCTAAGGCCCCGTTCACATATAGCGACATACCTTTTGCAGCGGATCCGCACGGCCGGGATAGCGCGACTTTCGGGGCGACGTTCCAGCGACGGTAGCGCGACCTTCCCCGTCGGGCTCCATAGAAAAAAAGTAAAATAGCGCAAAATCCGCCGAAAAAAGGGTCCGGTAGAAGCGACTTGCGACCGCGACGCGCGACATGGAGTTAAGACAGCTCCATTGAATAACATTGGCCGGCGACTTCTCGCGATATCGCGCGGCAAAAATGCGCGATATCGCGGCGGAAATCGCGCGACAATTCGCTATATGTGAACGGGGCCTAAGTTTGCATCGCTCTCCCCATGGACAAGACTACCAGCGCAGTCCCAATGCATGCGGTGTGAACAAGGGTTTAGATTGTAAGCTCTTACGAGCAGAGTACTCCTAACCCTCCTGTATTGAATTGTATTGTATCTGCGCAGCACAGCGCAAACTGTAGGCGTTAAATAAATCCTGTATAATAATAAGATACATCATTCAGAACCCACAACTTTTCTAGACTGATCTGTAGATAGATGTAGCTATAGGGGACTAATAACAATATATGAAGGACAGCAGCATAGTGATGGAGAATAGCCCCGGGCACACACACTTGTCATCCCTGAACATTGCGGCTTTCTGTGTGAAATCACATCACAAACACCCCATTGTCACATACCCGCTCCAGCAGCCTGCCACCTCCGACTGGGCTCTGTGAAGAGGAGTGACTTGTCCTGCATCATATGACAGTGGGGAGTGTTCAATGGAGGCAGAAAGAGGGAAGTACAAAATAAATGGAGCCCCCACAGCCCTTATGTTGGCTGCTCTGCTGTGTCCTCATATCTGCCGGGCTTGGCCGAAACGTGCTGCTCATAATCGGTAAGTGTGGCCGTTCTAGCCGGGGCTGTGTGTAGTGAAGGGACTTAGGTTGCCAGCATGTTTATTTCACAGCTGGCAGAACTAAGCACAAGCTCTGCAGACATAACGAGTCACCGAGAGACACCCGTGAGCTACATCCGGTCCCCGGTATTCTCCTAGAATCACTATACTTGCAATTCAGCTCGAGTCACTACGTATAGAAGTCTACAGTCAGGAGGATAACAAACAGAACTGTTTGTGCCATCTCCTCTGGAGCATACAGTGGTAGCTGCCATCTTTCCGGAGCCTGTTTGGTTGTGTGGCAGTCACTTTTATCCCCAGTAACATGGTGGAGTAATGGAGACCAAAACACAGGGAGCTGCAGCCTCTAGCGGTAGTAACGTGAAGCGCTGGAATTAATTGTTCTGCGGTAGTTACACTGAATATGGTCTCCTTTTCCATTCATATTATCAAATGACAAAACAAGCTCCTGTGTACATCTGTAGTAAGGTGCACATAATCATATTTTTTGGAATCGCAGTTATATATTTTTTGCTTTTTGCTACAGGGGTTGGCAAAAGGGTTGCCACCTTTTCTTCAAGCGAGACCCGAAAACTCTAGCGACGTGCAGACATTTGTTTGGGAGAATGAGTTGCGGCTTATTTATATGTAAATAGCGCCACCCATTCATATTTAAATATCACAGTTGAGACTATTTTCAGTGGGGGGCCAGTAGCCCCTATCTTAATTGTGGTTGCCCCTGTCTACCTGACATCTTGTGTCTGGGTTTCTGCTGCCATGAAACCCGAACACAGCATTCAAAACCTGGACTGTCCGGGTGAATCCTGGACAGGTGGCAACCCTAGTTGGCAACCTTGGCACTGCAGCTGTTGTGGAACTATGTGCCCATAGTAACCATTCTGCTTCTATCTTTAATTTTCACAGCTTAAAGGAGAACTATGGGGATAAGGCTTTTCCCCATAGTTCTCTTTAGGGTAACGGGAGGACACAAACTAGCGTCCTCCCGTCACCCTAGGCTCAGTATACCTCATTGTCACAGGTCGGCTAGAACTATGAGGTGAGTGAAAAGCACTCACCTCATAGTTCTCCTTTAACTGAACAAACTGCAGAGAGAAGCTGATTGGTTACTATGGGCAACTGCTCAAGTTTCGATAAATTCACCCCAATGCATGTATTATAACTTTCACATCACAACAATCCATCTTTATAATGTTTATCAATGCCTGCAAGAAGATGTTTTTTTTAATGGAGCTCCTGTACTTGACCCAGATTATCACATTTAGAAGTTTTTTTAACCCACAACCTTTCAACCAGAATAGGGAAGAGCTGTAAAGGTTGCAAGAAGATGCCTCAGGGATGTAGCACAGCTAAAAGAGTTGAAAAAAGACATTAGGCTTTTTTCCAGAAAGATGGTGGGCTTATGGCATCTCGACACTTGCCCAACAGGGACCTCACACGTGGCAACTCGGAGGCCTCATCGCCTGCATGCACACTACCTAAATGAAAGAGCCGAACCTATCTTCACAGGTGATTATTTGGACTCAGGCAGTGAGATGGAGGACTCCACATTCACCAGCTTCTTGAAAAGGGACCTAGAGAGTACGTTCCACTGCATGGAAAAAATGCACCTCAAGGACATGGAGGAGCTGCATGACAGTCTTCAGGGCTTCCATATTGTAGACCTACAGAAAAGGGCTAACACAAACAGTGAAAAAGTCAAAAATACTCTTATGTGTTCACAATTCAATCACATTAAAAAACAGCCAATGCATTTTAGCAGGAACACCACTGCCCCTGCCTCAGGGCTACAGAACAGACATTACAAAATCATAATAAAAAATGAGGAGTACCGTAACAATAAGAAGTCCATGCATGTATGGATATGAATCATATAAAAGATGTATCTTTTTTTATGTCAACCAGTAATAAATAAAACCAATAAGTTAAAATGTAAAATAAGATATGTATAAAACAATAAAGATGCTGTTAAAAGTACATAAGATAAACCATAAAATCGCTCTTATACAGCTGACGTAACATAAGCTATATTTGTATTGTGATCTTGCCCATAAATCAACATCAGCATGAGACTTTATACTGTATGTGTGCATAGCAGGATGAAACCATATGACAGCTAAATATAAAATAAACACCAATCAGAAGAGATCAGACAAAACTGCACTTCAGATTAATGTTATTTATAACTGCTGTCAAATAAGCTATATTTAAAATATATTATAACCTTGTAAATAGGTTGCCAAGGCTTCCATGACCTGAGAGAGGCTGTGGAATCTGTGCTGCCATCATTACTCACATCTAGAGCAGAGCTTCAAACATCTGTTAAGTAACATCATTGCCATATACAGGCCCTGTGCTCCCATGTAGATGACTTAGAGGACCGACACAGAAAACATAATATCCGCTCGGAGACCACCCAAGAGACAATGAGAAACAACCTGCTGCTCACTGTCCAGGGGATCTTCAACACCCTCTTGGGAAACCTTGTAACAGACCCGATTGAAATAGATCGGGACCACCGCACACCCAGTTATTGGAACCCCAACCTCGCTCAGCGAAGAGGCATCTTGTGCAGGGTGCATTTTTATAAACCAAAGGAGACTATCCTGCTTAAGACAAGAGAAAAGGAAGTCATCGACTTTGATAGGGCATGAGTCACCCTTTACGCCAACCTCTCTAAGCAGACACTAGCCAAACAATGAGCTTCCTTCTCCCCCTCTTCATATGCGCCCTGACTGAAGCAAACATACCGTACCGGTGGGAGTAGGCCTGAAAAAATGGCTGGGCCTCCACACTGCAGACACATATGGACTGCCAGCATATTTGTGGCTATTTAACAACCCTATCTCACAGCCAACCCTCTTAGCCACACTCTCCCAATGTGACCTTACACCATAGAGTAGCAGCAGGGGCACAGTGACAGACTCATAGCCTTGGCCTTAGTTTATTAGTTGCATATCTATGTTACTGGTAAATGTTGTTTACATGTTATCTTGAATTGTCTGTGTTGGCGCAGGCCTTGGTACATTGAATGACTCCATTTACCATTGGTGCACTTACTGATCTGGGTAGAGAATAGGGTATGTACTATCCTTTGATAAGGGTTACTTTCCTGTTTAATGCTAATTCTCCCTCAAATTTCTTGTGCCCTTCCCTTCTCACTTTCCAGCCAAAACCCACCCCTATTCCATAACTCCTCTACATGTCTTTTGACTGTCCTTTACCTAATGTCTGTACCCTCCAAGCAGGTGTTCCTCTTTTGCCAAGTCACCCCTACTTTCTTCCCACCACCCTCTTCCCAGCCTCTCTGGCATTTTGGCTCCTTCCACTGTTCAGTCTCCCCACATGACTAGCATTAAAGGGTTAGTTCACCTTTTCATAAAAAAAAGAAACGGTAAACTAACTAAAAACTCTGTGCTCCCCCTCACAGTCTTCACTTTAGTCTGTACTGGTTGATGAAGAAAGCCAGACTACCCATCAACGTTGTGGAGTTGAGAGCAATTCAGCTCTGGACTCTTTGACCTCTCCTCAGTATACATAAACTTCCAAGTAGGACCCAGCAGTCACACAGCTCAAAGAGAAGTGGAACTGATCTTGGCTTGGGTGGTACTTTATGTCCCAGCCCTGTCTGCTGAGCACATTCCAGAAGTAGAGAATTGGCAGGTGGAGTTTCTCAGCAGCCAGAGGTTGTATTTGGAGGAATGGTCTCTTTACCCAGAGGTGTTCCAGGAGATCTGCTGCCATTGGGGAACACCCGACATGGGCCTCCCAACATCCAAACTTAACAACAAACTGGACAGGTTTATATCCCTGTCTAGAGATCCGAGAGCATTCACAGTGGGCTGCACTGGTGGCTTCATGGGATCAGTTCTCCCTGATCTACACCTTTCATGCATTGAAGATTATTCCTTGTCTGCTCCTCAGGATCGAGGTGGAGGGAATTCCAGTGATCC